CTCCTGTATCCCGGTGCCAGACGTAGACATTGCTGTCTGGAAGAAGGTTTAGGTTTAACGTGGAAGAAGGAGAAAAGGAACGCGCCTTCGCTGCCGCTGACGACGAAGTTGCTCTCAAGTCCACCAAAGCAGCTTCGGATGATATCCTTAGACTGCCGTTGGCCGGTATATTTCCGCGTCATTCGCCCTGTATTAAGATCCCAAAGCTGAATGTCCTGCAATGATGTTAGCCACTGCGGAGAAGCGTTAAGGGTAGAAGAAAGTTACATCTGGGGAGCGGCTGATGAGGGCATATTGCGAATTTTGCGAAACGCTTAGACTCGTCAGCTCCCCTTCAAACGGCAACGAGCTGGAAATAAAATGAGCATCGTAACATTTGGATAGATATTGACGAACGACTCGGTGCGCCTCGTCGCAAAATCAAAAACGAGCAGCCGGTGTTCGTCCTTCGGTGGCGGATTTGATATAGGCACCCCGTTTGCGGGGTCGGCCTCCGTCCGCGAGTCCACCGGTGACTGCGCGCGCATCCCAATCGCAACGAGCCGCGTGAAGTCCGGGGTGATGACCATGTGCGCCACACGCACAGGCAACATGCCCCAGATCTCCCGCCGTTGGCCGTCCGCGTTCTACGTGTCATGTCAATAAGAGTTGTGAGCTCGAGAAAGGCTACTTACCCAGACGACGATCTTGTAATCCATCCCGGCAGAGAGAAATCCCGAATCGTCTGGAAGCCAGGCCAGAGCGGTAACTGGTTCTGAGTGCTCCTCCAGTGTCCGCAGACATACCCCCGTCTGGAAATGTAGTTAGTAAGTGGTGATGTCAATCGAAAGACTAAAACCTTGGTATTCCACATCTTTATGTGGTTTTCCGAACCAGCGAGTAATATCGAGTCGTCCGATGACCAGGCCATAGAGATCACAGGGTATGGATGAAGCAATACATGCCGCTGCTCCCACTCCCGTATCGGCATGTCCGTTTCAGGCTATAAAGTTGCATCAGTAAGGTCCGCGAAGTTGCAAGAGAGACTAAACGTACGCCGATGCCCCATATAATAACGGACTTGTCGCTACTTGCGCTCGCGAGAAAATTACCATCACGACTCCACTCGAGCATCCAGACTTGGTCAGTGTGGACTTCCAAGATCGTTGTTGTTACACGCGGAAAGTCGGTCTTGTCACACTGGTGGTCTGAGAAGAGCGAGAAGCCGGTGGGACTGGCAGGCGCATTGTGGTATACACATCTTTGCCGCTGGTAGGCATTTGCCTGGTGCAGTAACGTCGAGAATCGTCGTGGAGGGACCATTATTGATGGCGGGATGTAACCTAAACCAACGCCGTCAAACTAATCCAGGCGAGAGATGCACAACGCACGATGTAGATTGTCCAGCAGTATTCGTCGCGAATTTCCGGCTGCGCCATCCCACCCTGCGCGTTGTCGTAAATCCTCCGGTTCCGAACACATCATTAGACTGATGAAACAGAGTCAACGTCATTCAATTCAAGTGGGAGGAATTGTACCTGGAAAGGACGTGTAACTGCTCAGAATCCACGTCCAAAGGGGCGAGCTCATTTCGGAGAACATGCAGGGCTTCAGTTGTCTGCTGTGCCTCCAGTAGTTCTAGATATTTCTGCTGACTTATCAGAAACCGTGCGTCCTGTGGATTCAAACCCGTCAGCCTAGGTGCGTTCAGGGATTGGCAGACCATTACCCAAAGAGCTTCGCGATCTCGCACGCCGAGACGGTGTAGTGCACTTTCCGCCTTGGACCACCGCGCCTCGAGAATAAACCTCCGGAAATCGGCGACTTCGGACGTTTCCATCGCGTACCCTGATTCTGCCTCGAGCGTTGCGGCACTCTCACTAGCCGAGAATCCGCGATAAGCACGACTGAGTGAGATAACTAGGCTGGAACGCACATATAACCAACATCCCGGAGGCTCTGTATTACAAGCCTGACAAACTCTTCCCGGTCCACCTCCGAGTCGTCATATAGATTTGAGCCGGGTAGCGTTACGCGCGCGACCGAGAGCGAGTGGGAGGTCGCAGACGACTGTTTCGAGTGGCCGTTATGCTTCTGCACTCCATTGCCTGCTATATTGACTCCAGAGGCGCCGTTGGTGCCGTTGGTGACTGCAGCGAAGCCGTTTCCATTCAGATGTCCGTTCGAGGGTCCCTGGTGATCGAGAGGAACCGACGACGGGCCCGCCACTGCGTCCGGGGATGCTGGCGAGTCCTCTGCCTGTTCCGAACCAGGAAAGCGCATGGTCGTGGAAGTTTGTAGAGAAGAGGGATCGATCGGGAGAGTGCTAGTGGAGGAACTCGGGCTGCCGATGCGCTGCCGTTTGCGAGCACGGGAAGTCTCTGGCTCTGGGTTCAATGGACGGACTGAGTAAGTCAGAGTATTAGCCAAGCAGCTGGGGCACATACCGGAGAGAATGGGGTCGGAGGTAGGTTCGGTGCTAGAATAGTCGAGCTCTGACCTGCGACGGGTTGAGGGGACGAGCGATGCCACAACGGGAGACGGCTCCCGTGTAGGACGGTGGCTGGGAGGATCAATGGTGGCTGAACGGCGACAAGCTAGATGGTAGGGGGAAGAAAGACAAAGAAAGCCCAAGACTACATAACAAGCTCGACTATCATCAGATTCATCCTCCTCGTGTACCTCTCACAATAACCCAACGAGTCAATATTTCTTGTTCTTCTAGTACTGAGTAATACAATAAATGCAGCCTGCACATTGCCCTCGCCGCTGAGCGCCTCAGCAAGGCATCATCGCGGCCCTTCGGTCCGCATCGCTACCACCTCTTATCATGTCCATCCTGCAGCGAGGCCAGCTGGCGGTCGGGTACGAGGGGCGTACAAAGGGCAGTACCGTGCGCGACGTCCATGCACGTAGAGCGAGGGATGGGTTGGCAGCCGAGAAGAGCTTGCGAGGGAACACGCCGAGGAAACTTTGCAGATCAGAATGCTGCAAACGTTCACACCACAGGAGAAGAGCCGCACACAAACCATCGTGAATGGAGGATGCCATACATCACAGGGAAGGGAGGAGCCTCAGGCAGCCACCTGGCGACTTGAAATACCACCGACATCGAGGCTGAGTATAATCCAGGAATAATCGAGAACAAACTGGGATTGTCCGGTAACGATGGAATTGGAATAATGAAACGCTACCCACGAATGCCTACGCATCTACAACGAGACAGATGGTATGTTCCGGACAATAAGAGTGGCGAGACAGTCAGGAGATAGGTCCGGTGCCCCAGAATTTCAGCAGATGCATGAGGCTCGATAAGAGACTTGAACGGTTGGAATCCGCAAGGGTCCAGGAATGAGGACTGCTCGTACGCTTCAATTGAGAAGGACCCCAGCCGCTTTGAGCTGGAAACTACAGTGGGAGACTTCGATGCACTTGATGCACTTGAGTTTCAACTGAACGACGCCTTGTCGGTGGTACGGCCCAAGATGTGGGTGGTCCAGGGTGGTTCCAGGCGTACATACGCTCATAGCGGCCGGGAACGTGGATAGCGAGAACTATGGAGATGATGGTAGATGACAAGAGCCAGAAGCTGTGCCTTCCCATCAGTTTCCCATCTTGGCCTCAACCTTCTGTTGGATGCTCACTCTCCTGCTCGCTAATTCGCAATCTGCGTACATCCTCGCGCTAATGGATATACTATCTGATCAAAATTGCTGCCGGCCTTGTCTGAGCTGGAATTGCTGATCAGAAACTCGAGTTACAGAGCTTGCACTGACGTCTGAGATTCGGGTCGACCTGGTCGGGAATCTGGAGCTCCCTTGCTCAATGGACGACCTATATTCTTGTATTGTGTCGCCACTCGTCGCCATCATCACGCGGAAACCATTACTTGCCGCCAATTGAGCGTCATGCTTCAGGTTGTGGTGAGTATCCTCTGCCTCAGGCTCGCTAAGATTTGTTACAACTTCTCTTCCCCCGGCGTATCCTCCGTCTCGGACCCATCAAAGGTTTCCTCAGCACGGCTGGCTTTTCCCCCATCGTACAAGCGGCACTGTATCCTAATGTTGCAAGCTTCGAGGACGTCAAGGCTAGCCTGCTCAACGGTAAGCCTCGTCTCATATATGTTACCTTTGGCACTGTCAGTAGATCCAAGCACGCTCTAGAGACACTTTCAACTTGAGCTAAATTAAGGGAAGGTGTCCAGTAGTCTTCGGTAGGTGTACACGGATGAGGCGTGCCCCACTGCTGAACGCCTCGGTCTGCGCCTCGACCTACCAAAATGCCAGCTCCTCCACTTTGTTCCCTGTTCACCCACTACCACCGGTACTATCCTCGCCCTAGGCATCATAAAGGGCACGCCGCGCCTCACGGACGTCAACATCTTCACCGACTGCCAGCCCGCCATCACCGCCGTTACATCACCCCGCCCTCGGCCCGGCCAACACCTCCTTGCCCTCTTCCATACCCTTCTCCACCGCCTGCCTCGCCCCACCGCACCCTGGAAGTCCGTCAGAAACGGAGCCGTGGAGCTCGCGTGAAAGAGGCAGCCCTTGTTATTCACCAAGTCTACGCTCTCGGGTCTTCCAGTAGCGGCGGGCAGCAAAAATTGTGTCAGATGCCGATTGAGTGGAAGTGAAATTACTTGCTGTCATGTATCGTCTAGATTTTGAATGCAATCTGAGATCCAAATCATGCACGGTAGCATTCCTTTCCGCCCACTACTTGTGTGTAAATTTCCCTGACCAGGCGGATAAATTTCTCGATCTCGAAGAGTTGTTTGTTGATTCATTTTCTTGTTGTAACCCTAATTCTCATTCAATTCCTCTAAGTTTTGGCTGTGTTCTGCATCAGTCATTGCCCGATGTGCTCGCATTTTCTGGGGAATATCTGGGAAAATTTGGAACAATTACCAAGCCGACTGAGTTTCAACATCAGAATCACCATTCTACTTTCCGCGCGGTCACTGACCGATCGGCCAAGTCCCTGCCTCACTCATGTAACCTGCGAGACCTCCTTCCATCGGCCCAATGGTCTAGAAGTATGATACTCCCTTCGGGTTCGACACCCGCTTATGATGTATATAAGCTGTGCTGGGAGTGGTCCCGGGTTCAATTCCCGGTTGAGCCCTTTTTCTTTCTTTTAGAAAGCTTCCCCCCATGCTCAGGCACCTCTCCTCATTTTTTGGGGAATTTACAAGGTCAGGGAACGTCGCAAAGAATTTATTTATCAAGCGGATGTTCCGCATCAATGCCATCAAACACAACTGTCCGCAGGGGGCGCGAGCACAGCAGCGCCCGGACGTTTGAGGGCTTCTCAGCCTTTTCCTGCCATGCTCAGATGTTTCCACACCTGCACCAATATTTTTGGGAGACTTGGAAGACTGGAACATTCCACAGAAAGAAGATAGCTCGTCGCCCTGCGCTCAACGCAGGTGTCTGCGCAGTAGGAGGTTGGCGCGCCCTCCGTATAATACAGGAAATCACAGAGGACATAGGATGGCCCTTGGACAGCTTTGTGAATATTCTGGGGAATTTACGGCCGGCGATTCGGGCGCTGGACGAGGTTGAACATGGCGTGTTCGATTTCACATCTGCGATCAATGCACAGTGGGAGGTTGGCGCGCCCTCCGCATAATACAGGAAATTACAGAGGACATAGGATGACCCTTGGACAGCTTTGTGAATATTCTGGGGAAGTTACGGCCAGCGATGCGGGCGCTGGACGAGGTTGAACATGGCATGTTCGATTTCGCACGAGCACAACCGGGCCCCCGGACTTCGCATAGACTGCATGGGGTGTCTGGGGCGAGTGGGCGTTTATTCATTGTCGAATTCCGTCAAGGCAAGTAATTACGGGTACACCGAGAGCCTCCCTCATGAAGAAATATGGAACAGAGAGTGAGAGAAAAGAGACGTATTCGTATCACAGGCTCAGTATTACCTTGTAGTCATGGCGCGGTGCCATGCTGGTGACGGGCTGGCAGCGATAGCAGGAAAGTGGGCTTCTGGAGAGAGGAATTCACCATATATCCAGGTCCCAACTCGTACAGGAAACAAACTGTGTGCGGGTCTGCACGGAAGACTACCTCAAGAACTACTGGGTACCTAAACATCTAATCCCCTTGAGAAACACTCAAGTGGGAGGGAGGACACGCACCTGCACCTACTCCCTCGTAAACGCGACGGAAACGAGCCCCCGAACTCTCAACTCCCACGCGACGAGGTTAACGTGGCGGGTGACTTCTATGCGGACGATATGGTTCGCGGTATTATACAAGATGCTGTGTAGGTATGCGAAGATCAATGCATCGAGTGGGGTCGGTTCACTGCAAGAGTTGTTACACAATTACACAGAAAAAAAGAACCCAGAACGCGCACGATGAACCGAGGAACCACTTGTCCGCACCAAGACGAGACGCAATGGCGGATATAGCGTCGCGGTACTTGGATTCGATATGCTTCGGGTCGACGCGCGTACCGAAGGCAGGCAGCAGGGAGGTCAGACCGGAGAGCGGGGGCGGGGGTGGCGAGACGATGGATTCCAGCGGGCGAAAGGGCGCTTGTGAAAAAGTCACAAGGGACATGAAATACGACGGCGCAGGCTGGGCGATCAGCTAGGGTCATCGCGTGAGATCGCCTGTGAACAAGAAGACATGGGCAGAACGCGCACCAGGGCTGCATGAACATCGCCCTCCAGTAGCGAGACCCATGCCCTGCTCTCATCCAGCGCGGATTGGTCCTTGTAGCCCTCCAACGGACGCTCTTCTTCTGCTAGAACTTCATCCGCCCAAGTTGGTATGAGCTGCGCGGGAAGCAACTGCCCATTCGCGAGGTGTAAATTGGGAAGACGGCCACCCATTGCGCCTTGTGGAGATATATTACAGCGAACTGCTATTTTCGCGAGACCACGGAGAGCGAGATAGGCCTGCCATTTGAGACACTCCACGTCGACGCTCAGACGCGACGTATTGCTTGGTGGAGGGTTAATCCAGAGCGTGGGGGTACTAGGAGCCTTCCCAGAGCGAGGGGGTATTGCGGGAAAGGTGTAGAGCGGAAAGTAAGAGAAAACATGGGCGACGGAGGAGGGGACCTGCATCATATTTGCCACGGTGACCGCAGCCAAACACGCAATGCCGACTTTCCACTGAACGTCCTGGCTGGCAAATTCATAGTCCCATGTCGGACCACTCCTCTTCCAATATCTCTCGTCCTGCCTCGCCAGTTTCTCCGCTCCCTCCGACCGCCAGGCCCTATAGATTCAATTGGGACCCGGCTCAGCGAGGACCAGAAAGTGTTTCTGGAACCACCGAGGGACGGGATTACTTTGCTGGCCCTTCGCGTCTCAATTTATTCAACAACTCGACTGCCACCCTTGCAATCGGTGCGCTACCCCCCCAGTGGAGCAGTTCTACCCATGGCTTCCACGGTACGTGGTCTATTCGCGCAAGTATCGTGTACCGACAAACCACCAGCCATTTCGACTGTGCTAAACAACCCACACAAGCGGCAGGCGCCCCCAAAGGCCCACTCCTCGCTACCGGCGGTTGCACCAGCAGATCTTCCTCGCGTCCGCCGGAAGGACTTTGATTCGTACCTTCGCGCCATCACACCCGAGTGGGAGCGTTTAGAACACAGCAATCAACTCAATCGCGATGCGGAAATGCAACTGGAGGGATCATCGACACCCAGGGCATCCTCCTCAAGCGGCCCGTTTGCGCAGACACCTGGCAGGCCCTTACCACCGCTGGACGTGGTTCCGACAGTGTTTTTCCAACCCAACTTTAATCTCGGGGACCCACGGACCTTCAACGCGGTCACGGAACAAGACTTGCCCAACCACGACCCCGCCGCCGATCCCACGGCGCTCTCATACTCGCTACCTCTCTTGGAGAAATTCTCGCACTATGCAGACACGGTCGAACAGCACCTCGTCCGCGAGATATCTCTCCGATCTGCCTCCTTCTTCGCCGCGTTAACCAACTTGCACGAGCTGCAAAGTGAATCCGAAGAGTGTCTGGATCGAATATCCAAGCTTCGGACACTTTTGAAAGATGTAGATGAGAAAGGAGCGAAAAAGGGCCTGGAAATCGTGCGGAAGGGCAGTCGGATGCGGAACCTCGGCAAGGTGCGGGAGGGAGTCAAGTTCGTAGGCGGGGTGGTAGAGATGACGGGTGTTGCCAAGAGCTTGGTCGCTGCTGGACAGTGGGACCAAGCTCTGGGCGTCTTGGAGGAGATGGAGCGGCTATGGGAAGGCCCGCCCGCGGAGGAGCCCCCGCCGCCCACGCCAACATTCTCGCGGTCGTCCTCGCGCAATGTGAATGGAACCGGGCGACTCTCATCACTGCCTCCAACGCCAGAAGAACGGCCTCCACCTTCACCGGTTGTGCCTCCGCCAATAATACCGCTCTCCTCCCTCACTGCATTCTCCGCACTTCCTACGCACCTACGTACGTTGACGATGGAGATCACTTCTTCCTTGTCCGCTGAGCTTGTCTCGGTTCTGCGCGTCGACCTGCTGGAACGTATCTCCGGCGTGCCTCCAAGCCAGGAGAGCCTCAAGGATCGACTGCGGCCCTTACTACACGGACTGACACGAACCAAAGGCGTGCGAGAAGCGACGCTGTCCTGGCGAGAAGTGGTGTTGGCAGAAATCCGAGGAGTGATTCGACGGGTATGTGACTGTCGATTGTTTCTTCACTCCGTTCATCTTAATTATGCAGCACATCCCCGCATTCGACATCGCAGACGAGGAATCCCGGTCCAATACACCTACTTTGAACGGAAGTGCTGACCCGCCCACGTAAAAATTCTTCCCCATTTTTCTCTTCTCACGTTAATTAAATAACGCTAGGCCTGGGTTCGCTGACCACATGCGAAACATGCCCCATCCAGAGTTCCTACTGCTCATACAGGCTATTTACAAGAGTTTCTTGAACGCTGTAAATGGCTTACATGCACAAGGAACTGCCTACCTGGAGGTTCTCGAGAGAATGAGGTACGTTCTCGATGCGGACCCTGTTCTTGTTATAAATACATTATCGTCTAGTTCCAAGAACCCGCCAAATATTCCTGCCCTCCAGGACGAGCTTGCCGACATCCTCAGCTCCGCCGCCGAGCTTTCGAACACACACGCGGCTAAATTAATCATCATCCGCTCAGAACAGCACGCTGTATTGAGCCTGTCTGATTTCTTTACCTTCTTCAACGATTCCTGGTCCTTCGTAGTCAAGTGTGAGGTCATTTGTCGCAAGATGATTGTTGGGCTGCGTGGGGTGGTTATAAGTCAGGTAAGCCGTTAACCCAAATTTCGTCTGGCACCTGTCTAACAATAAATGGCCAGTCCAAAACCTTCCTGCAAACTTTCCACCAGGCTCGTTTGACCCAATCTGCGAGTCTGGTCGAGAACGAGCAGTGGGAGCAGATAGATGCGACGCCTTCGATCCAGCATATTGCGGACGTATTCGTCGACTCTGCCGTTCGAGACGTGCCAGAACTTCTGGTGGCCACCGGCACTACCGCCTTCCCGTCAGCGGCATCACTCCCGTCCCTCCCCTCGTCCAACAGCCTAACCCCCGCATCTTCCGCCAACTCTATCAACGGCGTTCCGCCCTCGCCTTCTGCACCTGTCGTCAAGCGCACCAACGGCACCTCGGCGTCCAAGAATGCAAAGATTCGCCTCCGTATCGAGGAGCGCACATTTTCTACCGTATCGGCAACATCCGAGGCGCTTTCGCTGCTGCTAGATTACCTACGCGTAATCGTTAACCTTTCGATGCTCACGACGGACACCATGAGTCGTGTAACCGAGTTCCTGAAGGCGTTCAATTCGCGGACGTGCCAGGTCGTCCTCGGTGCAGGTGCCCTGCGCTCCGCAGGCCTCAAGAACATCACGGCGAAGCATCTTGGTGCGGCTGGCGCTATCTGGACTGACTGGACTATTCACCACCTTTTACAGCACTGGCGTCTCAGTCACTTTCCATTATCATCACGCTTATTCCCTACGTGCGGGAGACGTTCCGCCGGCATCTTAGCCAGAAGCAGGCGGTCATGCTCGTAGAGTTTGACAAGCTCAAACGGGTGCGCATCGATCATTCCATTCCGTTCCCTTCATTTCATCTTTGGTGTCGT